AAATAAAATAAAATAAATTATTTTACTAAAATAAATAAATAATAATTAATACTAAGCATCGATGCAGAATTTTGACTAATTTTTAGCAGATTTATATAGGCTTAGCCGATTTTTAGGCTTAACCTAATTAGGCTTAGCCGATTTTTAGTTTTAGCCGATTTTTAGGCTTAGGCTAATAGGCTTAGCCGATTTTTAGGCTTAGCCTAATTAGGCTTAGGCGTAGTTTTTAGCCGATTACGCAACACTATATATTTATCCTTAAATATAACCCATAAAAAATTTGACCTTAAACCACAACCAGAATCTACATGACAGAAAATTTATTAGTATGCTAATACCCTCTGATACCCCCCCCCCCCACCCCTACTCAATTTTAAGGTCTTGGGCTTACTCATTTATTATGCTCTACCTATGATATTAATTAAAAATTTTATAATGAGTTTTAATAAAACTTTTTCAGACATTATGATTATTTAGGCCATGAATTAAAAATAAACATTAGATGTTGATAATGAATTAGTTGTTACTAATATTATTCTATACATCAGCCGCAAGCGTGTATAACTTCAAACTGTACTGTACTGAAATATTATCTGTGAATGAATGAGAAATAAATATTTATAGTTAATTGTATCTTTAATCCACAAATATTGCTTCATTTCATTCATATAAGTCAGTACAGGGTAGTATATCAACATCGATTGCAATACAAAAATATTATCCAAAAATAATAAATAATACAGATTCAACTACATTTGCGAAAATCGTATACACCTATCATGTAGTTCAGCATTCACAGAGCTATATCATCACAATGTGGGTCGAATCTTTTTCTCATGATATTTAACGACTCCAATATAAGTGCAAACCTTACTTGTGGTAGAACAAATCATAAGTATTTTAGTACCTGAATTCTAGAGGTCAATTCTAGACGATTTGAAAAATGGGCATCCATATGCAATTCTGACAGATGCATCTAATAAGGGAAATATTAAAATATTTCCCTTGATCTTTCGCTATTTCAACAAGAATAAGAACATTTCAATAAAACTGTTAAATTTTTTTCCTGGGATAGTCAAAAATCCAACGATGTAGCTAACCACATAATGTAAATATAGCTGATTCAGGGTTATCTATGAATTGCATGTCAGCTTTCTGCGCTGATAATACCTCTGTAAATTTTGGCATAACCAAAGTGTATTTTCCGAATTGAGGCAGCACAATAATGAATTAATACCAATTGACTGTATATGCCATATACTACATGATTCTTGCAAGAAGGCAATGAATGTACTATTTGTGGATGTCATAATAATTATGATGAGATGTTTTAACAAATTTAATTTAACTAAAAGAGTTAATGAATTAAAAGAGTTGGTGGAGTGGTCTGACTTGAAATGGTGTTAGTTATTGCGATATGTACCTATCAGTGGTTATCATGAATACCTGCCATCGATAGAATTTTAAAATTTTACAAACCCTTAAAAAAATACTTCTTAAATAAAGATTTTAAAAGCTGTCCTAAAATTTAAAAAAAATATTTCAAGTATGAAATGGCAGAAGCATATTTGGGATTAGTTTCACATGTGGGAAATCTACTTCATGCAGTTAATATTCAGTTGCAATCAGAATATTCTTTATTAATAAAGATTCACAAAATCATGCTACAGCTCTGTTTATCTCTACAGTTAAAAATTTATAATAAATTTTATGGCGCTACTGCTAAAAATATTATATGTTCAAATAATACTCTAATTAATACATTTTTAAATGAAGCAGATGTTTTTATTAAGACAATTTTAGAATATTTACAATCAAAATTTGATTTTAATAACTCTATTTACAAATGTATAAATATGACCTTGGAACAGAAACCGTCAATTGATGGTTTGTGTAATTTAATAAATATATTAAAAATACCGAAAGACATTGATGTCTTGTTTGAGGAGATTGTAATTCTTTTTATTTTTTATGATTCGCTAGAATACTTAAAGTTAGATTATCTAAAAGCAAAGGAGAAACGGGTAGATTTTTTTCATAATAATTATAAATCCCCATGCTTGGAAAATAATTGCGAGTATGTCTTCTCCTTACCTCATTTTAATGCCTCATCCGAGTGCATTTTTAGCCTGATGAGGACTGCCTGGAAAACGTATTGTTTAACAACATTAGAGGCTGAGCTAATGGTTAAACAAATTTATAATATGTCATGCCAGGAATTTTATAAATATCTCAATGACGACGGTAAACATTTAGTTCAATTATTTAAATCTCAAATAAAATATAATTAACATTATATTTAATTTTCCATATATTTTTATTTATACATTTGCATAAAATAAATATATTTTTACATTGTAAATCAAAAATAGAGAGCATTACAATATCCTCAAACAAGACATCAATGTCTATCGGTATTTTTAAAATATTTGAACATTCTAAGTTTTAGCAATGGCGCCATAAAATTCATTATCAATTTTTAACTGTAAAGATTAACACATCTGTAGCATAATTTTGTGAATCTTTGTTAAGATTATTCTGATTGCCACTGCACATTAACAGTATGCAGTAGATTTCCTACATGTAAAATCATTCCTAAATATACCTCTGCCATTCATTACTGAAAAAAATTTTCAAAATGTTAGGACAGCTTTTATAATCTTTATTTTAGAAATATTTAAAGGTTTATAAAATTTTAAAATTCTATAGGTGGCGGGTATTAGGAACATATCGCAACCAACATTGTGCTGACTCAATTCTGTAAATAGACTCTGGTTTTTTCCAAATTCACTGAGGCATTATCAGATCAGAAAGTTGACATGCAATTTATTGATAATCCCGAATCAGCTATATTTATCATTATATGGTTAGATATGTATTTGTATTTTTCATTATTTGAGGGGAAAAAATTTAATAGTTTTCTTGAAACGTCCTTAATTTTGTTGAAATAGCGAAGGATCAAAAGAAATATTTTAATATTTCCCTTATTAGATGCATCTGTTAGAATTGCATATGTATTCCCATCTTTCAAATCGTTAAGAATTGACCTCCTGAATTCAGGTTCAAAAACATTGATGATATCCTTGCTCATTTTTGTTCTACAAGTAAAGTTTTCATTTATCTTGGAGTAGTTAAATATTATGGGGAAAGATTCTACCCACATTGTAATGTTAAGTAGCTCTGTGAATGTTGTACTACAAGATAAGTGATTACAATTGGTCCAATTGTATGCATCTGTATTATTTCTTATTTTTGGAGAATATTTTTGTTTTGCAATGGATGTAGATACACTCTCCTCCACTGATTATAATAATGTGAATGAACAATAATAAATAAAATAATTATCATTGAAATGAGTACAATATTACCTTATTACGTATTCATACGTGATATATGATAATAAAACGCCTATCAGTATAATGTTATATACACACACAAGGTAGATTTCCAATTGTGGATGTTCTGCGGGACATTCGCATAAAATATATTTTTTTACATTGTAAAATTAAAATCATTTGTTTTTTTATAAAATTTTATCTTGTTTAATTCTTTTATATTTAAAAAGGATCGTTTGTTATTTTTTATAAATTAATATTTTAATAAATCAAGATGTTATTTTATTTTGAAAAATAGTTATCGAATATGTATTTATATAAACTAATTATAAAAAAATAATAGGCGGATAATTAAGTCAATTCAAAATCCCGGCCCGGCCGGGATCTTGCGGGCCATCTTTTTAGCAAATCTTTTATTTCTACCGCAATTTTATTCTCCCGCAATTTTTATATTTCTCTCGCAAAATACCAAATTTATTCCGCAATTTAAAAATTTGACCTGGCAACCCTGTTCAGGGTCCGGGTTCGGGTTCGGGTTCACATCCTTGGTATATACCTTATAAACCTAGATGCGTGATTTAACGAAAAGCAGATAAAAGAGCCTGTCAAAGATTTAAAAAAAAATAAATATAACGAGTATATCGATGAAGATATTCCTAATGAAAAATTTTAAAACCTTAATTGCGTTGACGTTGATACTTAATAAATATAAAGGGACCTTCATATAGGAATGGATTCCGGATCCATCTGTCAAAATATCGAAAAGGAATCAAGGTAGGTGAATAATCCTTTTAAATAAAAATAAAGTCCGAAGAAAACGAAATGAAAGATTTATGCAAATTTTTTATATTCATATTTATATATATTTTAATTTGGATATATCGGTGGTATTAAATTTGTTACATTATTTATAAAATATAATATAAACGAAGAATTTATATAGGCAATCGCATATTTTTTGATATTCTATCAATCACCCCCCCCCCCCCTTTCCCCCCGAGATAATAATAAATATAAGATGCCATGCTAACAATATATATTTTTATCCATTTGCGTCAAAAAATTCAAACAAGTTATAAAAATAACGATAACAACAAATGTCACTTTTTTATGTTATATCTACATTTGAAATTTTAATTGTTGTACTTTAATTGTACATCAAATTTTTTTTATTTTTATAAAAATAACAATATACCAAGTCTTAAATTAGATTTTATAAGAAAGATTTTCGAAATTTGTTGATCGAAAATATTTTTAAATAAAAATATTAAAATTTTATATTCATATATTTCGACATTACAAAATCGTTACTCAAAATTTTTAAAATATTTTCTTAATTTTATCACAAATCTCAATCTTTAAAGATAGTTTTTCAAAATTTTTCAAAAATTAAAGATTTTTTGATCTATAAAGATCTCGATCCTTAAAGATTATTCCTCAATATTTTTAAGAAATAAAAGATCTTTAAATTTTACTATCTGCAAAGATTCTGAACAAATGTATAACTCTACTAGTATTCAATCGAGTTATCATGTTTATTATTCGCTGATTTTAATTAATTTCGTTTCTAATCGAATTCTAATATTATATTTAATATCGATATTTTAATTCCCAAAATAATGCAAAAATTTGATAAACTGCCAAACTCTAGTTTTCATTATATAGAAGATATCCAATTACATATGGGCATTATTAAACAACCTTATAAAAATTCAAAAATGAGTGCAGATGTAAACGAACGTGATATAAGGATAATTACTCCTTTACTCACAGGTTATTACAATACTATTAGCGTAATATATTTTTTTTAGATTTATATCAAATTACAATGGCATATGCTTATTGGAAGAGTGAATCAAAAGATAAAATAGCAGTTTTTGATTTATATTTCCGCAAAAATCCTTTTGGTGGTGAATTTACAATATTTTCAGGTTTAAGTGATTGTATAAAACTCTTAGAGAATTTTTACTTTGAAGCTGACGGTATTAAAAGATATAATCAAAATACATTATTTTTTAAATATTTTAGACATAAGTTATCTCAAGGAAATTTTACCAAAATATGTTGAGGATGACTTTTTTACATATTTAAAAAATATTGACACAAAGGATATAAAGCTATCTGCTGTTCCTGAAGGAACTATAGTTTTCCCCCGCATTCCCCTTATTAGCATTGAAGGACCTTTACCAATAGTTCAACTTTTAGAAACACCGTTATTAACTTTTGTTAATTTTGCCAGGTATTTTATCTCTATAATACACATTATATTTTAATGCAAATAACATGGAAAGGATGTTTACCTTCATTAAATTTTAATTATTCACTGAACATCATTATATTTATTTAAATAATGAATCAAATTTTAAATATTCTTAGTTTTATTTTAGGCATTCACAATTATCACACTAATTACTATTTTTATATTTTAGATAATAAATTTAAAACTCTAAAATTATTATTATCAATGCTCAAGTTTGGGTTGGGCTTGGGTTTATAGATTTTTTTAAAAATTGGGAGTGTTTAGGGTTGAAAAATATTAACTTTTTAATAAATATAGAAAATGTAGTTTTTTTTTGGTTTTTAAATATAAATTTGAATTTATCTGCTATTAGGAAATTGTGAGTTTTACTTTATTTATGTTTATAAAAATTTGTTTAATTTATATGTTTAATTATAATTGGGCCTGCTAAAATTATTTAGAATACTTGTAATCTAGACCATGCTGGCAAAAAAATAAATTTGCAGCACTTTAGTTCAGAAGACTAGGGCTCTACCAGTTGGAGGCCTGCAAATGACAATTTTCAAACCATGCAGGTTGGGAATTTAGTTTTTACCAACCAGATGTGCCCAAATTTTGGCCCTTTAAATACAAAAAAATATATGTGTTGAACAACAAAAAAAACAACTGTTTATAATATTAAGTTATCGAAATTCGTCAAATATATATTAAAAAATCGCCCATCCTGGCCTGGCCATTTTTTTTGCCTAATCCTGCCAAAATAATTTTTTCTCAGATGTTATATGGCAAGGCTCATGCCAGGCTTGCAGATCTCTACTACCAATACCACATTTTGGGGGCAGGTCCAATCTCATATTGCCAATTTTTATTGATATTGGCTATTTACCAATATCACTAATTTGATTTTGTTTGCTATAGATTTTAATATGCTTTAATTCTTTAATCAACACCAGAGACCTGCAGAGGTACCATTTGCATAGTTTGACCCAGATTTTTTAAAAAAAATTAAAATACTGCCTGGTTCATGTTCCCTGGTTGGGCTTAGGGCTAGACTTGCATGTCTCTGATTTACACATCTACCTTTTTTTATTAATATTTTACTATCTATGATTATACCATAATCATAACATAAGTCATTTAACAAATATTATTATCAAATTTTAATTAACCCATTTTGATTTTGGCATGTTTATTCAGATATATTCATCATTGTATAAAAATATAAATATTGATAAATTATTTATTTATATAGTAAAATCGTTGTAATTTTTTTTTGTAAAAGTCTTTCTATGGCCCATTTCCAGACAGAACGTTTTTTCAAAGCGGTTTTTAAAGCATTTTTTTTTATATTTATTTACAAACAAAGGATAATAATTTGCCTAACTAATTTTTTTTATATAAATATAATATTTAAAAAAAAACGACCCTGATCCCCATTTCAGACTTCATTTAATCGTTATCAATTGTAAATTGTTAATTTTTAAAAAAATGATATATTTAATTTCATAAACAAACATCCTTTTAAAATAAAATTATGTCTATTAATATTTTTTTTAGCAATTTATAAGAATATTCATTTAATAAATATTTTTTTTTTAATTTTGAAAAATTAAATATAAATGTTGTTAAAATTTTAAAATTAATACATCATTTTTAACTAAAATTCGGGTGGGAACCGATATTAAAAAGAAATAATCAATCCGATTCAATCCGATGAAAAATATCGGTGCATTTCTAAATAAGACCCACTTTTATTTAATATTTATTAACAGAATCACGTAATCACATTCGATATTTTATGTTATAATCTAAAACACCTCGATTCATATTTTACGAATAACAAAATTATTCAAATCGAATACGAATAGGAAATATAATAATTTTTTTTATCTATTCGATCGAATTATTCTTATATTCGAATTAATTTGTAAATTTTCGAAATAATTTCAAAATATTCGAAATTATTTATAAATATCTTAATTTATTCATATATATTTGAAAATTATCCTTGAGTATTTAACATGTTACCTACGGGAATTTTTATTTTTTTTCTACCTCTTTTTTAAATTTTATTAACCATAATATTTTTAAAGAATTCAATTTTCGAATTAAATCTAATATTCGACGAATCAAATCGAATAATGTTTTGATTATCCATGCGATATCGAATAATATAAATATACGATTTGAAAATAAATACGAAAATTTTTATACTGATTTCTACCAATCTCTTATTTTCTTCACCGAATACTAGAACTAAGTTAATATCTAAGAAAATTTTTCACAATAATTATTTAATTACTTCTGGTTAGGCCTATTTTAATTATTATACTATAGTCAGGTCCACAATCGGGCAAGTCCTGGAGTGGGGGTGGGGTGGCAGATAACATTTATCATTTATTAGATATTGGGTTAGAATAATAATAAATAATAATTATTTTTCTTGCTTGAAACTAAACTAGGTAACGGTTTTAAAAGCCTGATATGGTGATCTAGGGCTCGATTTGTAAATAATAATTAATAATAATACATCTAAAATATAATCTTTTTAATGGAAAACAAAATGACAGATCATTTCCTCGCTGTAATACTTTTGCAGCTCGAAAAAAAATTAAATTATATTTTCCCTTCTATTTTTTTTTCTGACTGATCCAATTAATAAATATATTTAAAATTAGGAAGTGCCAAATATATAATATTTCATTTCCTATAACATTTTTTATTTTGTTATAAGGTTTATACCATAATAAATTTTAATGAAATCGTATGTTAAGTTTTAATGAAATCGTGTTATTTTTTCTAGAATTATCTTGAATTATATTTTGGACATGTTTTTATTTTATTTAAAAAAAAGCTATTTGGCTGTGGTCCTTGTTTGACTTAATTTGGATACTTAATTGCTTTTTTTAGTAAAGTCGGAAAACCTTTTGAACTAGGACACTCTATTTTGGTTTGTTTTAGGTATTTAGTGGAAATATTATTTTTTGTATTTTATTCTCGTTTTTTTTTTTCGTTTTTGGTCATTAAGTAATAAGACGACCTAGGACACGGCCTTTCTTCTTTTTCGATATTCGAAAGTTTGCATCGAACTTTTATTTATCGGAGTTATTGCTAAATATATATTTTATAAAAATGTATAACATTAAAACAAGGTGGAGAAGAAATAGAGATTAGATAACTGAATACATATTTTGAGTTTTAAATATATTTTCTTAATTCTATTTATAAAAGACATCTAAACAAGCTGCACCAGACCTAGACCTAAAAAAATTCTGTCACCGTACTCTTAGGTCTTTAATTTGCGATGCGGTATCGCATTTTTGGAAAGATTTTAAAAAAAATAATAATCGATATTCGCGGTAATGTCTTTTAGCGGAATAAGTTTCTCCCCGATAATATGTATAATCTTAAATATTCCTTAGAATGTTGGTGGTCCATTTTAGAGGCCCAACCCAGGGGCCGGGCAAAAAGTGTTTTGGCCAGACGGACAATTTGTACAAAATATTTATATGAAATGTTAACCTTACAATTTAGTCAAATTTATGATTTTTTTTTATAAAAAAAATTATTACGGGCCCGGCCGGACACCGAAAAACATTTAAAAAAAATTCTACGGGGCGGTTTAGCCCTGGTCGCGTCGAGCTCTATTATTCCCCACCTAATGAATATTTTAGGATGGATACCATATTAAAGATAAAACTGAAAAAAAAAATTCCCCTCCCTAACAGTAAATATTACTGGTGGCCTTATTGATCTGGTTCTTCAAATCATAAATTTTAACGAAATCTTTTTCACGATAGAGATTAAATTGTTAAAAATATTACCTCTATTTTATATTTTTTTTATATCTCCTAATTTAAATTGGAGAGATTAAATTGTTAAAAATATTACCTCTATTTTATATTTTTTTATATCTCCTAATTTTATTATAATTCTTGATATTATCTTATAAAAAATATTATTTATATATTATGATAACCTAAAATTTTATCAAGCTTAGTGACAACAAATGCCGCAAGATATAGGATAGCTGCAGGTTCAAAGAAGAGGTTGTTAGAGTTTGGACTTAGACGAGCTCAAGGTCCTGATGGGGGTTTATCCGCGTCTCGCTATTGTTATATAGGAGGTAATGCGTCAATATTTAATGTTGAACACAGGCCAGATTAATTTTTTTTATTAATATGACCTTTTAAGATTTGGACATGAGCGAATATTTGATCATAATTAACACAATTTTTTTTAATCGATTAACTTAATTTTTTAATGTATATTAACCTCCTTGCAATCATATTTTTCAAATTAAATTAAAAAATAATAATTTAGTTATTTTTGTCCATTATTTTTCAAAATCAAATTAAAATTTAATGGTTTTTTTAAAAATAAAATAAAATAAAAATATTTATATAAAGACATTTTTTTTTATTAAACACAAATTATGTATTTATTATTAAAATTTGTTAGAAAATTTTCACTTGTGACTAAAATAAAAATTTAACCTAATAGTATAATATTAGGAGCCTAATATATTTTTTTATAATTAAATAATGTTATCTGATTTAAAAAAAACTTATAATCTTATTTATCTTAAAAGAAAAAAAGCATAACTAAATAAGGATACCCGGAGGAAATTATAAAATTTTTCAAAATTTCACAATACACCCAAATTAAAATGTTGTTTCTTACACTAAAATAACAGGCATTGATAAATCAGTTATTAATTTTAGTAATAGTGTATATGTCATATTGGGATATGAAATCCATGATGATTAGGGATATTATGAATTTACATTAATTTTTTGCCTTGGACTTTAGAAACTACTTTTAATTTGTACTGATTTTTAAATCAATTTTTACATATAAATTTAAAAAAAAGATATCAAAGTTTATAGCTAAAATTATCTGAAATTTTATAGGTTTAGGTAGGTACTCCAATGAGGGGAATACATTTCCCGGGTCCCGGGTAAATAAAATAAAAATTTTTTAAAATCTCCCTCTATAAATAATTTAAAATCGAGAGATTCCGTTATCCCCACGGATTTCGTATCCCACTATATATAATATTACTACTAAGTAAAAATTCAAAGGGAAATAGAGAGAGAGAGAGAGGAAGAAAAAAGTAAACAATTTTGCTAATCTAAACAATTTATATTATATTAAGGTTTTGACGGCACCAGTAATGTATTAGCCGGAAAATTATTCGGAATACCCGTAGAGGGTACGCATTCGCATGCCTTTGTCTCATCTTTCACACATTCCAGTGATTTCAAAAATAAAGTTTTTTGTTAAAATACAATTTTATTTTTTACTCATTTAATAATTGGATCATTTTTTTTTGTTGTTTGTTATAATAGAAAATTGTGAGTTTCAACAATGAAAAAGAGGTTCCCGATTTTTTAAACCTTTGCCTGGATTGGAGGACCAAGGTTTGTACTTCAATATTTCCGAAAATAATCGATGGTCAGGTGTGTCAAACTAATGAAGGAGAATTAACTGCATTCGCCGCTTACGCCTTATCCTTTCCTGACCACTTTTTAGCCCTGGTGGATACTTACGATGTCCTTAAGTTTAAATTTTATTTATTTATAAATTTTAATTCATTTCTCTCTTCTGCTTTTTTTCCAGGAGTGGTATACCCAATTTTTGTTCTGTAGCGTTGGCTTTGAATGATATGGGATATCGAGCGATCGGGATTAGAATAGATAGTGGAGACCTGTCATACATTTCTAAACAATGCCGATCTGAATTTACTAAAGTTTCCAAAAAGTATATTATTTTTTAAAACAATTTTTTTTATGACGTGACTACTCTTTTTTATTCTTCAAGATTCAACATTCCTTGGTTTGAAAATATCAAAATCGTTGCTAGTAACGATATAAATGAAGGGACTCTTTTTTCCTTGAATGAACAAGTATTCACTGCTTATAATTTTTAATACCTATTGATTTGAATTGAAAATTTAAAAAGGGTAACGAAATCGATTGCTATGGGATCGGTACACACCTAGTTACATGTCAACAACAACCGGCTCTAGGTTGCGTTTATAAAGTAGGAATTCTCTTTAATTTACATATATAGATATCGCCTCACGTTTTTAGTCAAATTGTGTCCTTTATTCAATCAAAATGGGTCGTCCTCATAATGTGTTAACTAGATTGAAAGGCTGAACAATTATTTTTGAAATTTTAGTATATTTAAGTCTGTACGCCCTCTTTTAATTATACCATATTATTTTTTGTTTATTTTTTTTTAAAAAAAAGTCATCCGCTACTCTGCCTAATTTATCGCCAAATGATGATAGCGATTTATTAACAGGCGTATTATCACTCCCGCTCTCGCCTGATAACATTTCTGCATATTTTTACTTTTCTGAAAATTCTCTTCGATTGTTGAATCAGGTTAAATTGTAAAACGAATTAACACTTTTGAAGTCTTTTTTTTTGAAATTTCTTAGAATTTTATAATCACAACTTAATTTTAATCGAATTCATTATTTGAAAAAAAGATATGATCATGTTTTTGTAATGGAGAATCTATTAAAAAAATTCTTTATGGTTTACTCTTTCAGATATATTATATTATATATTATTTATCGCTTTAATTAGATTTTATCCAAAAACTTACTTTTCACAAATTTTTTCAACTAGATCCTTAAAAATCTTTCTTATGATAAACTATCCAATTTTATAGAAGTGATTTTTTAAAAAAAATAAACACCATGCTATCTGGCTAACATTTAATTTATATTTTCATTAAAATCAGTAAAATACGTGTTTAAAATATATTTTTTGATTTTTTTTTAAAAAAGTTTTATTTTATCTAAACTTTCATGGATGACGGCAGCTGTCAAAATTTTATATCAAAAAATTTATAATTGTTTTCTTTACAAAAATTATTTTTATACGGGCCGGGTGACTCGTGAAAAATCAATACGGGGAGGACTGAGTTCGAAATCGAGTTAGACTTCTCTAATGATCAAGCTACTAAATCGATAATACTGCATATTACTTTATTATTCACTAATTGTCAAAAAAATACCATATTTGCTATAATATGCATCGTTTCTAATTAAATATTTTAGTTAGTCCAAATACAGGGTAAGCCTCGAATGAAATTAACGCAGGATGTTGAAAAAATGTCGATTCCTGGCCAAAAAAACGTTTATAGATTATATGGAAAAGATGGTATTTAATCAATATATATATATGTCAGACTTGCAGAGGTACCATTTGCCCGGCCCTGATTTTAAAATTTTTTTTGACCCGACCCGGGTTTTATATTTTTAGTTTCCCGGAATTAAAAATTTTTTTTTTTAAAATATATTATATTCATCATTAATTTTTATAGATAATAATGCCAATTTAAAATATTCAGTTCGGGCCGGGCATTTTATAAATTTTTTTAGGCCAGACTCGGGTATATTTAAAAAAATTAAAATGCGACCCACCCCTGTACCCTAGTTTAGTACCAGGCCTGTAGATATCTGATATATGCGAAATGCTTAAAGACTTCTTTTTTTATCAAAGGCGAAGCCATTTTAGACCTCATTCAAATGAGCAATGAAAACCAATTTATCGAACCTCATACTAAGATATTATGCCGCCACCCATTCCAAGTTAATAAACCATCTCTTTTTTTGATACATAAGTTATTATTTTACTTAATTTTTTTATATTAATTATGAATTAGGTTAATATTAGTTTATAATTTTAGTTTATAATTCCTTTTTATAGACATTCAAAAAAACTCATGATTGTTTATCTGGATTTAAATCTGATGCCAAGTCAATCTTTTCAGTGAGAGGCTTTATAGTGAAGTATCCTCAAAAAAATCCCGCGAATGCATCACTGTTAATGTTAAATATTATAACAAATGCATTACCGATGCACTTTGGTCAATTGTTTAGCGAATTTGCAATTATTATTTTGAGAAATTTATTTATTTTGGCAAATTTAATGTTAAAACATGGACTATGGCTAGGTTTATATATTTTTTTAAAGGAGCATGGTTTATTATTCACCTTTTATTTCGACCAACCTAATTAAGTTCTATATCACAAACAGAAATAATATCCTCGCGCTAATGCATTCACGGTAATAATTTGTCAGGGAATTCAACATTCGTGATAATGCCTTTCACAGAAAAGCATAATTGACATGTTTATAGGTTAATTTTAAAAAATTATAAATATATTCGAATAACGTTTACCTTTGGCCAATCCATATTTCTAAAGATTGGAACCTTCGGATGTTGGGTTCCAGTTCGCATTTTTTCTCTTTCCAAATGATTTGGAATCACTATTATAATATTATTAATTTATAAATTTTTTTGGTTTAAAATTTAAATAAAGGGGCCTACCCATTTCAAAAAAAAATTGTTATTTGCATTATTATTACAGGCGGCACTTAGGACGTACGTAAATCCAACAAGGGTTGAATCACTTTTAAAATTATATTGGAAAGATGGCGAGGTATTTTTCGTATTTTTATTTTTAATAATTTTTTATGTTATTAAGTTATACCCGAATAAACAAATATTTGTTTTACTAGCTGCAGATACCACTTCCTTCCATTGAAGATGTCAGAAAACTTGTCAAAGAAAATTTATCAACGTTACGTCAAGATCACAAGCGACATTTAAATCCTACGCCTTATAAAGTTTTATTATGTATTTGAAAAAAAATACATTATATTATGTTTTCATTATAATAAAATCAGTTACTTTTTAGTATAGTAAAATATACTAATAAAATTTACCTTTTTAAATGAAGGTAAATATTTAGACAAAAATAACTATTTATTTTTAATTAAAAGAATATTTCAAAATCACTAGGAAGGGTCTAAGAATATTGAAACCCCCTGGCAAATTTGATAGGACCTCCCTCTCATAATTTAAATCCTTATAATCAAGACGGACAATCTTCAATCAAAACTACTTTTCTTCGATTTTGATCTATACCAAAGCCCATTAAAAATCGATTTCATAATATATGAAACCCACGATTAATAAACTATTTCTTTTTTTCCAATGCATTCAAAAGTATTTATAAACGTAAATATACACATAAGTTTTAACAACAAATTCAAGATTGGCTATACCCCCCCCCCTTTCCATATATCTCAAGATTTAAATAAGGTTAACCCTGAATTGGGATAAAGATGATTGGGGGGGGGCATCATTTTGTTTATAATTTACAAAAAACCTCTTGCAAACGAACATCATTTATTGTATCAAAGAATAATTATATTTATAATATAGAATTTTGTTTTATTTAAGGAAAATAATTATAAGTGGGGAGGAAGGATATTTTCACTTTGACCACTTCTTTATATGTATATATAACTAAGTAATAAATAATAATTTTTAAATTTTAGTAATAGTACATTCTCAAAATTTCTATCATATCCCTGTTTAAAGACAGTTTAAGTCACACTGAAAAGTCTTTTTTTCGGGATTGACGGCAGTGTGGTGTTATGAATAACAATTTTATATTAGGATATCCGACATATTCAAGGATATATCTTAATTATTAGGCGTTTGGTCAAGAAAATTCAATATTTGAACCCCCTGATGTCGGGTTGATTAATTCTTCTATTTCTTCATCATCACTTGTAATATTGATATGATATATAAAAATAATTAAAATTAATATAAATGTTAATATTTTAATGTCATCCATTTTGAATATAAAATTTGTCTGGTTTATTTTTATAATGAAATAAATTCGGACTTAACATTTAATGAATTGAATTCAATTATTCCTCTAAAAATATATATAGATATAAAATAAAAGTGTATCTAGTACAGATACAAATACCACATTTTTGAACAACTCTGCTTCTTTGTTACGCCATTAGATAATCTAGATAGATATGGAGTATTCATTGTAAAAAAATTATTACACATTCTCAGAAATTTATAGATCTATATGATTATAAAATATGAATAGATATAAACCATATTTATCTTGTTATTAAAATTTTCACTTTTATATAATCTTCTTATAAAAATTTTCTACTAAACACCCAATTCAATTAAATTTACCTAAAAAAATATTAGTTACATAGAATTTTATTTTGCTTTAATTAAAGGTATTTTTATGAAACGGCTCGATTTGAGTCGATTTTTTATATCAGTTTACTCTATAGTTTAGCCAGCTTAATATTGCTTAAGCCTAGATTTCGCATAGGTTATCCAAACCTTCTTTCTGTGAACAAATTGCATAATATATTCTGGATAAAATGAACTAAACATATTTAAAAATCTGCTCAAATCAAACGGTTTATTAACAGCAATTAAAGGGATAAGATTTATAAATTTTATTAGTTAAAAATATAATTATTTATTATTATCTCCTCAACCTACTGTAAGATGCCATTTTTTATATTAATAATATAATACTAATATCTTATATTATTTAGGTATCAGTCACGGATAAAATGTTCAACTTTATACATAAATTGTGGGAAGAAAATGCTCCAATCAGCGAATTGTCCTAAAATTATCATTTTTCCGAAATTAATAAAATACTACAGTTAATATATTAAAATCAATATTATTTACATTATTTAAAATAAAATCCAAAATTATTTTTTTATAATGCAATTTTTAGCAGGATTGGGCACAATTACTTTTAAAAATAATTGATTACTGATGTTAATTACTATTAAATATTTAATTCTTATAATTAAAATAATGTTTTAAAAAATGGTATAAATTTCGTATGATAATCAATCATAAAGATTATTCATAACCATTATTAGAAAACGTCTTACATTAAATATAATACTACCTATCAATTTATCTAAAAATTTTATTTAACCCACCCGCCCGATCAATATATAAAAATTATTTGGTTGGTTCGTTTGGCTTATTATTTATAAAAAAAATGTTCAATAAATATAAGTCCGTTCTGCCTATTTCACCCGAAAAATATTTTAAATTCACCAGCCCATCCACCCACTGTTTTAAAAAACCCGTTTAACCGTCTGCTAAAATAATATTTTTAAACATGTCCATTGTGCACTTCTAATATACTTACGCTTCGATAACATCTATTTGATTGTAAGTAAAATCTAACTTTGACATCTTTTTTGAGAAAATTAGAACTTCAAGTTCGATTTTATTTATGGGATTAGATTAGATTAGGATTGATTAGCTTGCACGATCTCAGAAATTAATCTAATTTTCAAAAATATAATCAGCAAACCTTTTGTTGAGGCCATTAATTTTATTTCCATAAAATAGGTGGAAGCGTATTTTTTTTATAATTTTGGACACGTTCTCTAAGTAGATAAAATGTAGAAATATTCTTATAACAACTCAACTTTCAACATACTTAAAATTTTTCGTTTATTGATAACTTTGAATCTTCAAAATCAATTTCAACATCTACATAAAACTTTAAAAAAAATAATTAGGGAAGAAATAAAAATTGGGCGGAATGGATAAGAAAATAAAATTTGAAAATAATGAAATCCACTTTTATATAAAATTATCATATTAAATTACTAATTACATTTCAACTTTTTTTAAATTGTAAATTACATCTTTTTCTATCTCTCTCTTTGTAATTAAATGCAATTACTCATTTAAAAAAATTATTGTAATTTATATAAGAAATTAATTGTTTCCCAATCCTGCAATTTACTAATACTCACGTATTGATCTCTGTAGTTGTGAAATTTGTTATATAATAAAAATATTATTTCATATCTAAAGTGTTTTGAAGTTGGATAAACGAGTCAGCAAATGAATATAAGTCTATAAATCTATTTCTGAAAGTACTACCCAAAGGTAATTATTTTTGCGGTAATATTAATTTTCTACCAATCAAATATCAAATTTTAAATCTTTTTTTAACAGTATTAAAGATTAGGCAATATTATATTTATAAGTTTAATGTCGAAATATCACTTCTAATTAAAATTTTAATTTATGTTCCTTTATTAATGTGACCAGACGTTGTTGTGTAGGCGGGCAGTCGCATCTTTTCTTAATTTTTATAATCACATTTTAACCCAAGTCGAAATTATTTTTTTTCTACTGCCATCTTTTATTTTTAATTCATTCTTTAAGTAAGAAAAATTTATTTACAATAATTTTTCAAACAAATGAATAAGGGGGTGTTTATCGAGTGTTTTTAAAATTAAATGTTACTATATAGTTATATTTAAAAAATAACTGTCTAAACAAAAAATTTTTTTTGTTCTTGATCAAAATTGGCAGTGACTATTGTTTACGATCCTTATTTCGTTATGAAGCTATTGAACAGTCAATTATAAAATGAGCAGTCAATTATAAAATACCGAACCTACCCGAACGAGTTTCTGGCCGGGCCGGGTCTATTTTTGGTTCGGGTTGAGTCGGGCCTAATATATTTTTTTAAATTTCGGGCCTGGTCTGGCTTAAATTTTTTAATATATCATTACATTTTGTCAAATAAATATTATATTTTAAAATTCTTATAAGAACAAGGCGCTAATATTTTTTATTTTTTGAATATATGTTTTTACAATAAAAAAAAAATTGAATTTTTCAATTCGGGCCGGTCTTGGGAAATTAGGCCCGATGATTTCAAATTAAGTCTATTTTTTCACTTAAATATAAATGTATTTTATCATTTAACGCCAATAAACGGATAAAATTTTCTTATATTTTAAAATTATAAATAAACATTTGAGACATATAGTTGAGCTTGGCTTACGGGCAGCCAGAGGGGTTGCCTGGACTCTCAAATTTTTAAGATGTTTAGGAGTCAACCAAATTTGGAATAAACAAGGATTCCAAAACAATTTAAGTATTTCTTTTCAAAAAATACTCCTTCCCAATCCTTTATATTATAATGTTATAAAATACGAAAATACGATTTAAAAAAATCTAAAACTTTGTTGTAAAATTTTTAATAATATTTAAAAAGTATGATGAGCAGGGGTTTAAAATAAAATTTTTTAACAAAATTTATATTATATAACGAAATGTTAAAATTATAATATCAGGTTCCCATTTAAATATATGATTGAATAAAAATATAAATTGTGTAAGATATGATTAGAGTCGTTTAACATAACTTTTAGTTTTGACCAATTAATTTTAAAAATAGTTTAAATTTGGGACCGAAATATCTAAATGGATTAGAAATAAGTAGTGTGAAAATAAATTCTGATGAGAATTATGAATATTTGTTTATCTTAAGGTTCTCGGCTGAGTCGCTGAAATCCATATTTAATGTGAAAGGGATTCCAGTTGCGCATAAGTAATCCCACGTTTCTATGCCAAGGAGTTTAGTAGTCATCTCCGTATATTAGTTAAAAGTGCTATATTAATTAGAAAGTCAGCCTTATCTATGTCACAAGAGACAAGGGCCAGTTAAATCAGAACAAGAAATGTAATGTCCACCTTTACTATCGACTATTATGGACATATAGCGCATTGGTGGAGCAGTGTTAATATCGCATCCTAGGCAGATTTCTACTGCAATTATTAATTTTTCATCTCTTTACAACATCCCTAAGCTTTGACTAGCTAAGGATCAAGCCAGTGATGACATATTTTCATCATTTTGAGCTAAACATAGCAAAAAGATATTATTGGTATGGGTAATCTCCAAAATTTTACTATGTAATACATTAATCAAAGGCTTTAAAATACTTTTTGCTCATTACTGGAGTAAATATAGAAGGATAGACACCTTTTTTCATTTTTATAAAGCAATAACATAAGGAAGATCAGGTAGAGAAATAGGTTTTTTAGTGTCATAAGTTCGTGATATAGACGTAGCCATATGGGAAGGAAGTGGAGAGGTGTAAATTCCCCCATTCGGAAATTTCCCTCTTTTTTCAAATATATTGTATTAAAAGAATCCCCGTACCCCCCCCCCCCCTCTCCCTATCTCAAAAATACGAACTATAAAACATAAACAATAATTTGAAAGAAAAATAAGTAAAAGTAATAATTTTCTAAAATAATGAGTATACTCCATGCAGAAAAAATTTCTCCAATAATGCCCACTTCCTTAGCAAAATCCTAGATATGCCTATGGTTCTTAGGTACCTTTAGATAATAGAAAACTAATGAAGAAAAAGTAAACCAAGTCCACCTATTTTCATAACGAAGGCTTCTAATTTTCAACCGAAATCACTAAATTTGAAGTTTAAAAGTTGTTCAAAAATTGTTCCTTCAATCCCATGCGTCTTGATAATTGGGAATGGCAGCCTAACTTCTAAACCTGTAAATAAAATTGAGTAAAAAAAGAAACTTTTTTAAATAAGGAATGCTAACTAATGTTTATATAGTTCATCTAGATTTGTATGAATTCGTGTAACTTCTCATAATATATTATTTAAAAATTTTGAATTGAAGAATTCTACGTTCAATAACCTTAAAAGGCAACATAGTAACCTATTGGGATCTTAGAAAGGAAATTTTGGGTTTTATTTTATTCAAAAATGGGTCAATACTAGAAATTACAGAATCGATATAATCGACACTGAAAATTAGGTATAATACCATCATCTAAATACCATATATTTATGTCAAGATAAAATTTGTGTTTGATCTTTAACGTAGGAATGAATACCGAGATTAAATAAAAGGGAGGTTTAAAGGGTATTCCTTGTTGAATGCCTACCCATCTAAGGAAAAGGGATCTTAATTAAGAGTAATTTTGGTTCCATAACAAGCAGCTTTCAATAATTAGTAGAATATTCGTGAAAGTGAGATTTTCTCCTATAGACTATGAGGCTATTAAAAGCTTTTTGAAAGTCAAGCTTACATATTATTTTATCTATAGTGGTGCTATTACCTTAAATTCTACTTTTATTTTTATGCAAAATAAACAAATATATAATTTTTTATTTATTATCCCCAAATATTATGTTATATAAAATTGTTAAATAATCAAGTTATTTATTTGTATTTACTAATAAAAGTATAAATCAATTTTAAACCTAACATATTGGCTCGAGAAAATTGCTCATAATGTCAAATAAATTAATGGCTTTATAGAAAGAAAGAAAGAAAAAAAACACAACAATGACCATTACAAAAATAAAAAGTAAAAAAAAAGAAAGAAAGTGTTTTGTAGAATTATAAATGACTATTGACTAATTTAAACTTTTCAGTTTAGCTTATTCCGAATAGTCTAAAAATTTTCTCACAGATATCACATAGAGAGTAAGACGCATAGATGAGAAAAATTAATTACAAACTATTATATATTTATAATGAATAAAATCTTTAAAAAAGGAAAATGTTCTGTTTCCCAATTAATTGATATTGGTTTGGTTGGTTTAACAATGGATTGGTTAATAATAATAGGGAGTCTATTGGTGCTGCCTTAAATCAAATATTTAAATAAATATAGTTACTTTTACTTGGATCAATTTGTAAATAAAACCTATTTTATAACTTTAAATCGGTGTGTATATACTTCTAGCTATTTGATGAAAAGAGTGCCGCTGTTAAGGGCTCTTTATGTAATTTAAGATAACTTGTGATAAATCTTTTCAATGATAAATCACGATATAATTCTTGATTATTCATCAAGGTGGATAGCTTTATATTTTTATAGGTATAGTACTCGTTAAGGGCTTTTATTTTAATATTAGCATTCGAAGCAATAATCCCGGTCCATAATGCATCTTCATTTGGTATCGAACTGTATAAATATTTTAAACTTTGTCTGTAGAGTTTTTTTGCGATATACGGTTTCAAAATGTATGCCCATCCACTACAATACGGTGGATAATATTTGAAAGGAAAATTTGTTATACTAACGAAGTTTTTTTGCTTCGGGTCACGAATGACTAGCATTTTATCCCATATACTACAATACAGAAAATCTTTTTCGAGTTGGACATAGGAATCGTTTTTATGAATTTTTATATCAAGTTCATTTGTATTCGTAAAAAGTTCTTGCATTAATCGGATATTGTTTTCCCTTTTAATACTCCAATAATGAATATATAAAAGCATAGCTGACAAAACATGGACGTTAACCTTGATGTCGGCATCTAATTTAAGTATGAAATCCACCCCTCTGCAATTTTCTCCCAACCAGTTCAACATGGTTCCTGTTTTAATATATAAATTTTTATACGTATCCAAAAATGATCCTTGCAATATGTCATCGAACGCTCTAGATTCATTTTTAATTTTCTTTTGAATAATAATTTTGTCAGAAAAACCGATCACGAATAATAATTTTATTCTAGGGGGGAAATTTTTTTTTTCAAAGTATATAAAGCTATATTTTGTAATAATATCATTCAAAAGAAAATATCTCGATTCATTCCTCGGAAATTGGGATTCATAGAGTAATTTATAGTCTTGACTTAGATCTAACAAATTCTGGACCCATATTTCTCGTATTTTTTTTCTCAATCCAAAATCCTCAGCCTTTGTGAATATTGTGATCACTAAAACAAGCTTATTGGAATGAAATTTAAAGGATTCAATGTTAGGTTCAATCAGATATTTTATTTTGCTATTGTTAAATATCCTAAAATATTTATCTTTGAATTGATAAAAATTGTTATTTTTTTCAAATACTTCATTGAAATTACGAATATTTGATAAATATCTAATTAATAAATATGCCGTTATAAGGTATAAAAGAAATTTAAAATTGTAAACTTTTATTATCATAAATTATGGAAAAGAATAACAATATCTAAAAAAAATTTACAGACAAATTCTTTTATAATTAAAGCCTACGGTTATATTATTATCATAAATACTTTGATATTATAAACATATGAAAAAGAAGATATTAATTAAATAGAAAACTATGATTATTTTTAAATATTTTAATAAAAATAATCAATGTGTATGAAGTGATTCCAAATTGGTATTTTTTTTTAAATTCTGTTTTTAGGAAAAATATAACATGATTTCTGGAAAAAGGTTCCATAGTCTGGAAAAAATATAAGGGGGAAAAGAATTAATTTAGTCTTAAAATTGTATTAAAATATTTTTTTTACTAATATCTGGCTATTTGAAACTCTACCCTAAATCATCCAAGATGTGGGAAGAAATAAAATAATCCTTTTTTATAGATTGGAAGTTAAGCAATATTAATATTTTATTCCAATTTTTACCTTTTTATGATTTTTTTTTTATCATCAAACTATACAAAATGTATTTAATTGATATATTTTTAATACCAAACGAGTTATAATATATATTTTTTAAATTGAAGTAAAGGTTTTATATGTCGTTTTTGAATATGAAATTAGTGATGCGAAATAACTCTTTTGAGACAATTTAAAAATATCGAACTCAATATTTAAATCTTGAAAAATATTAAACAAGCCTGGAAATTTCGCGCATAGATACATCGGTTTGGACATCTATTAGCGAAATCTTGAGGCTAATCAATATTTTTCTCTCTAAAATATTGAGCTAGCCGTTCTCAAAATTCTGTTCAAATGGAGCGATTTTGAATTTCAATATGGAATCTATAGGAATAAGGAATCTCCCAATATTTTAAAGCATTTACTCGGTTACATATTCAAATTTTAAAAATCTGATTTGACCGGAAATATATTTCAGCATATATAGAGTACTATCTAAACTGTGAATTTCAGAACAATTAAACATTGAACTTTCGAACCAATTCGTTATATATATTCATATTGATTTTTCGTATAAATTAATAAATACGTTTTGGCGAAAATTGTCTGAAATTAAAAAGGAGGAAGATATTCTATACAAGCTGGATATATATTATCGGTTAAATCGGAGGTTTTTTTTTTGAATTCCTATGGATTCCATATCCATCATACGACATATATATTTAATGAAAGTTTAGCCAAATGGTAGTTCTTTTTCTGTTAACTTTCATATTCAAATTATTAAAATTAATCTATGAAATAAGTTCGTCGTGTCTAGGATATAATAATACTAACCAATGAGTTACCTGCCAGGCCTCATACCGCACTTAGTTCCGGCAAAATTAAACAAAAAGATGATTTAATATTTTTCAATTATAGTTCAAATCAGGCTTTTAAATTGGATCAATACTCAGACGACACGGTTTTTTCCAATTTTCTGGTGGTTTTATCTTCTTTGAGATTTTCTAAAATTTTTCCTTGAGATTATTCTTCAGAAGATCCCCCCCCCCTCCCCACTTTATACATTTTCTCTATGATATATTTTACGGGAGCTTTTTTTCTAGGTAATTTTTCGGGAAATATTTTTTCCCATTACTTATAATATTTTATGCTTGTTTAAATGAATATTTCAGTTTGAACAAGATAGGAAAATCATGTTTTAGTTAAATTTTTAATCGTACTCTCTAAATGATAATCTAACCCTATTCGATAAGCATTATCAAACGGCTAAGCTGTCGACTTAGCTAATTCTATTCGAGTTTTGAGAATATCATTTAATTAAAATTGAGCGGCTCTGAGTCGTATGAATTGACTTTATGAGTCGGCTTCAGAGTAGGCTCGATGAGTCTGCTTAAATTTATTTTAAATCGGCCTGCTATTATTATTTACCCCACGAGGAAAATAATAAAAAATTTCAACCACTTTATTTTGGCGTATTGTTATTAAGAAGATGACCATACTATTCTCTACTCCCCAAAATAATTACAAATTTCCACTGTTCTGTATAGGTTTTGAAATAAGAATGTAATTTTCTTTCTTTCTTAAATATTTATAAATAATTAGGGAATTTCCAAATAAATATAATTGCATTTAAAAATATATTATAAATAATTTTAGAAAAATCTAAAAAATTAATATATAGCTAAATAATTAATATTTAATAAATAGTAATTTTTTTATAAAATTGTTGTTTTAATAATTGATGGGTGTCACTAAGAAATGATTTCTTACTGGATATATCAACGAAGTATTCTATCTTCGACAAAGGATCTGTTTTGAAATTCGCTAAAACTCTTCCATTTTATCTATATCCTATTGGTTCAAATTAAGTATTGTCTTCCAGTGATATACTGCTTAAATAGCCTGTGAGGGGAGAAGGCTGCGTTAAAAAATATGATACGTGGATTGCATCAGTCGTTGATATTCCAGGAATAAAGCCAAACTGAGTCTCTCCTATTTCGACAATGTCTCTTAATCTTTTTTCTATGATTTTTTTTGTAAAGTGCAATTAAGCAAAGGAGCGAAAAATAGAGGGAAAAGAACAAAATGCTACACATGATCTTTCTCGATTTAGAAAAGGCCTTCGATAGAATCCCAAGAAAACTTATCTGTTGAGCGCTACGCCACAAAAAATTTCCCGAAAAATATATAAGAATAATATATGTATATGGGCCATACCACAATGGTCCGTAGCACAATTGGTATTTTAACAGGCTTCACAATAGCCGAGGGAGTTCATAAAGGGTCGGCTCTCAGCTCACTTCTCTTCATAACAGTAATAGAAGTATTATCACAGTCTATACAGCAAACAGTCCCGTATGATATTTGAAGATGATAATGTGATACTTGACTAATCCAAGGATGAAATGAAAGAAAGATTAGTGAGTTGGATAAATATCCTTGAAAAGCATGAACTAAAAGTAAACGAAAAGACGGATTATATGGTGATAGGAGGAGATGAAACAGAAATCATTGATATAAATGAATAGCAAATATCGGCAATTGAAAGCTGTAAATATTTGGGCTCCACTATACAAACAAACGGTACAATAGAGAAGGAGAAAAAGAGTAAAATTAATCAAGAGTGATTAAAGTGGAAATCTTTATCTGGAGTGCTCTTTGACAAAAGAATCCCACACAAATTGAAGGGAAAAATTTACAATTCCATAGTACAACCAACTATTCTATATAGTTCGGAAACATGGCCAACCAAAGAATTAGACGAGAGAAGTCTACAAACTATGGAGATGAGAATGCTAAGGATGATTGCTGGAGTATCAAGAAAGGATAAGGTGCGAAGTTAAAAAATACTATGAAGTTTAAAGGTGTGCCTATTAAGACTAAGATAATGGTGAACTGACTTAGGTGAAATGAGCACACAATGAGAAGGCATATAAAAAAAAAGTTGAGAGTTTGGGAGTGATGAGAAAACGTTAAAGAGGAAGGCCAAAACTTCAATTGCCCATAAAGTTAGAGCCAATATGAAGAAGTATAAATTAGATAAAAGAGATAGCACGAATAACATAAAGTGGAGAGAGATATTAAAGGAGCAAAGCACCAGAAAAGGTGAAAGCTAAAGAGAAAATAAAAAAAATGATATAAAATAGATTTTTTTTATTACGAATATAAATAAATGTTTTATTTCTATTATATTTTCAAATAAAATGTAGAAAATTTAATACCGCTGATATCTATATAAATTAAAATATATATGTGAATTTAAAAAATTTCATTTATTGCTTTTTGGACTATGTTTTTCAGATAGCATCCGCCAGGAATAATTCCTTTTCGATATTTTAACACATGGATCTGGATCCGATCCGTTATCGAAGGTTCATTAATATTTAAGAACATCCCCAAAGTTAAGGAATTTTTTAAATTTTTCATTAATTGTGGAAGCCCATCATATTTCTTAAATTTTATTCTTTGGCAGTACGCATCTAGATTCCTATGCCAATTTCATTTTGAATAAAGTATATATATCGTATACAATTACTCAAATAAACACATATTTATTAAATTTTATTCAAATCATTCTACCCTCGTTTTCAAATCTATATATGAGACTGTATGATGCTGTCAAGAGAAATTATAAATTGATCTATTTTTAATCTTACTAGGTTTAAATTTTTATTTTAAATTAAAAGTGGTATTTCTGAATTCACCAATTTTTTGAAGGTGTAAGGGAGTAGACATTCAAAAGGGAATAAATTTAAATTTATTAGTAAATAGTTATTTCTCATTCATTCACAGATAACATTTTTGTACATTTTGAAGTTATATACATTCGATCTGATATTTATATGGTTAACAACTAACTGAATATCACCAACTAATGATTATTATTTGTATTCCTGGCCTAAATAATCATGAGGCCTTAAAGAGCATAATTAGAATTTGTTTTGAGGTGTTAAATGGTGGCTCATTATAAAAATTTTTAAATTAATATCTATTAGGTTTACTAAAAGCATAATGGGCGAGTAAATATTGCGTCCAAAGCTTGCGAAAATTTTGAAAGGAGTAGAGCAAAAATTCGGATGGGTTTTGCTTCCATTATTTTTTCTGTCATGTAGACGCTGCCTAATAATATTTTATTATAGTGAAAATATTCCTAATAATTTTTATATTATATTATAATCAATCTATAAAAAAAATGGTTTCTAAGAACCTGATAAAAAAAATATCCCAATTTATTATTTATTTTTTAGGAAATAATTACATAGACATACATACTACCTGTAGTGATTAGCTATCTAACACGGGGATTGGCAGACAAGAATGATCAATCCACATCATTTCATAAGTATTGCATTATGACTCCAATAATAATCTAATAATGATTTTGAGAATCAAACAGTTTGTGGAAAATAGATTTTATTAAATCCAAAATAAAAAAGAAAAGTAAAACGGCCTTTTTTATACTTTACAATTCAATAAATAAAAAATAATTCTATAAAATATGCAACTCATCCTGAGTCTTACAATCTAAAGTCAAACAAATGCGCCAATTTTATCAAACCAGATTATTGCGCG